GGGCCGAGTATTGAACGATGACCAACCGCCTTTACAAGAAGATGTCGTAAATGAAGTAGAAGTACCTGAGCAACGTATTGATGATATCTTACTTGTTGATCCGCATAATCCGATATATGAAGAACTTCCAGACGATGCGATTTTGGACGAAGCCAACGAAGATGAATTTGAAGAAAATGATGAGGTGGAAAATGTTTCCAATGACGAGTGATTATGTACTCTACCGTCAATTGTATTTGATTCCGTTATGAAATACATTATGTTTGCATTATATTATGATCCGAATAATATTTCGATATCTTAATTATGTTTGCATTATGAAATTTTTTTGGAGTTTCGAGATTTGATATACGTGTTTGCGGTTTGTGGTAATTGGGGTTTAGGGGTTGGAGGTTTGTGGTTTGGGGTTTGGGTTTTACGTTTGTGGTTTGTGGTTTAGGGTTTAGGGTTTAGGGTTTAGACGACTACATTACGACTAATAAGTATTTGGAGCCTAAGTAGTCGTAATATTACGACTACATTACAACACTTAGTTGTAACGTAGTCGTAATAGTTCGACCCTAATTGGTCGTAATGTACGTATGGACCCACATTAGTCGTAGTATCGTCGTAATTTGTCGTAGTAATGTAGTCGTAATAGGTCTTTGTCGTCCATTAGTCGTAATATTACGACTAGTTTATGATCATTGGTCGTAAATTATTCGTAATATTACGACTAATGTACGACCAATGGTCAAAGCTGTATATATATAGGGACCTCGCGGAAGCATTTCAGTTGCTCATTCACTTCTCTCTAACAACTACTCAACAACTCTCTAGGTAATTTTTTTTTTAGGTGGTTAGTTAGGTAATTAGTTTAGGTTTGTAATTAGTTTAGGTTTGTAATTAGTTTAGGTTTGGAATTAGTTTAGGATTGAAATTTGATTTATTTGAATTGTTTAGTTTAACCGGTTTATGTTTTTTATAATTTTCAGATATTTACTTCGCTAGGTCTGGAAGAAAGAGAATCTGGAACCTCGCGGCTAAAAACTCCTACGCGAGTACTTTTCTCGGTCAGTCATCTACCTCGGCTGGCACCTCATCCGGCGGCACCTCATCCGGCCCTGGCCCCGTTCCGGAGACCCAACCGGCACATACTACTCAGGAGCAGTTTGTCCCTCCGTATTATCCACGCATTGAGGATGATACGGATTTCTTCACTTATGTGCTGGAACCTGAGTATGTCCCTCCGCCTTCCCAGAACCCGTCACAAAATCCTTATCCGGCTCCTGATCAGAACCCGCAACATGCCCCAAACCCGCAACAAAATCCTTATCCGGCTCCCCAGAACCCGCAACAAAATCCTAATCCGGCTCCCCATAACCCGCAACATGCCCATAACCCACAACAAAATCCTGATCCGGCTCCCGGTGTTCATCCAGATTTGATGGTGCCGCCGAATGCACCATATGCGAGATATACGGTGGAAGATATTCTCGGGATGCCGGGCCGAGAAGGTTTACGAATCGTCGATCCGGATCGACGCCCCGGCACGTTTTGGTAACTGTTCTAAATTATTTAATTAAAGTTTAAATTTTAAAAATTTATTTAATATATCGACGCCCCGGCACGTTTTGGTAACTGTTCTAAATTATTTAATTAAAGTTTAAATTTTAAAAATTTATTTAATATTAATATAAATATATAAATTCTTTCATATTTTGTAGGTTTTTGACGGACAATGTTTTAGGACAGAGCGTTGGGGATATCATTCGGGCAAACTTTCGGCATGCCCACCCCAACTGGACTCTTACACCGGACCACGTTCGCATTACGTGGTTCAAGTGTTTCGCGGTAATTAGTTTCTAAATTTTTAACAAAAATTTAATTCATGCATTGATAGTATATATAAATTAAAGTACTAATTATGTTTTTTAATTTTTCATAAATTTTTGTAGCAAAAATGGAATTGGTCCATTGGTGTCAACGAGGAGGTCAAATCAGCGTTCTACAAAAAGGCGATGCAGCGCCTCAAGAACATTGTTGGAGATTGGAAGGACGACTGGAGGCTAAGACAGGATGACGCAAAACCAACCTACCTCAGCAATGACTTTTGGGTTGGTTTGGTGGCGTTTTGGATGAAGCCTGAGTCAAGGGCGAAGTCTACCAAGTACTCTGCGGTCCGGTTGACCAAAGATGCTCAAGGTAAGAGCATCTCCAACCCCACTCCAAAACCCACTCCAAACTCCATTTTGCAGTAAAATCTTCTCCAACCCTACTCCAAAACTCACTCTAAAATGGAGTAACAAACATGATTACTCAAAATATGGAGTAAACCAACTCATTACTCCAAAATGGAGTTGAACTTTTTTATTTATTAAATAGTCCTCCACATTTATATATGTTTCATTTTTAATAAAATATTATTATAAATAAGTACTATATATATTTTAAAATTTACTGTTATATTTCTTAATTATATAAATAGCCTCATTTTTAATAAAATATTATTATAGATAAGTATATTAATATTATTTTACTATATATTAGAAAATTTACTGTTAATATTTCTTAATTATATAAATAGCCTCGTCTTTAATAAAAATATTATTATAAATAAGTATATTAATATTATTTTACTATATATATT